AATCAGGGTACTCTGGACAATAGTGATAGTAGCACAGTTTCTAGATCTTCCTAAAATCCCCATATTAAAAAAAGAGAATAATCTCTATATCAAAACCAACATCCAAGTACATTCACAACAAAACAAAGTAAAATGGGATCCCCATAAACCCCAGTATACAAGTGGTTGGGAAAAAAGTAACAAGAGCCAAAAGACTTATGTTACTGGCATCTGTAAAGGGAGAAAGCAAAAGGAAACAATGGGGTTGTATGATGGATCTAACAGGAAAACCAGGGAGGAAGGGTTAAGATTGCAGAAGAGTAGGGAGACCCCCTAGGCTTGCTTCATCCCTCGAACACAGCTAGATAAATACCAAATCATTTTGAACACCCAAGAAATCTATCTGAGGACAGAGAGAACAACAATGTAAAACCAGAAGTGAAACAAACACCAGATCATGAAAGTTCAGCTGAGGATCTAAATCCCCAGAACGAAGGGAAACCTCAAGATGGAGATACTCCTGCCAAATACCAAGAGAAGGAATGTGGAAGAACCACCCCAGGAGACAAGCCACATGATGGGCACACATCTTTGACATCACCCTCACCTAGTGCATTTAGGCATAGGAGCACAAGTCAGATCTTGTAGGATCTCCCACCTTGCCTTCCAATTTGGTTTCAAATCCCTGACTTCCATTTATCTACTTAAAAAAAGCAACAACAACAAAATCATTAGGATATATACTTATTTTCCCACTGACTTTATTTGTTGTTAAAGTAAAATCTAAAATTAAAGTCAACGAAATGTGTGACTTTCTTCATCCTCCATTAATGATTATAACTGTCCATTCAAAAACTACACAAAGATAATGTAGTCCTAAATAGCAATCCAGCTTTAATTGTAGGGCACTGAATCACCTTGCAAACAAATTACAGTCACTATGATTTACCAACAGGTACTGTACTGAGTATTGTTGGGATTTCTTTTTGGCAAACTTATAACAAACCAGGTAATAAATTTAAGTCTTCATCGTTATGAAGAAAAATAAAATAAATAAACCTAAAATATCTTAAAAAAAAAAAAAGAACAGGAAAACAACAAGAGTCAATAGGCATTCACTGGAAAGTGAACTCAATTTTTTAACAGCAACTGAAACTAAGCAACATTTTACAACCAATGATAGTGGTACAAGGAGCCCATGTTAAGATCTAAAAGTGCCTAGAACATTCTACCTCTATGAACTTGCAAAGCTAATTTATACCAGGGCATCTTTCCAGCAAAGGGCCTCACACTGAGGAGGCATTTTTAGAAGCAGGATCAGTAGAACAGGGAGCAGGACAGCAACAACAGAGACATGGAAGAAGGTCCTGATAAACAGTAATAGAAGGGCAACAGAGATTGAAATCCCCAAAAACAAGCCATCATGTGTTTTGACAAAATAAGAAAATAACAAATTATAGAGTTTACTGAAGTTTTTAAAAAGCTATCTTAGGATACCTGGGGGGCTCAGTCAGTTAAGAATCTAACTCTGGCTCAGGTCACGATCTCATGGTTCAGGAGTTCAAAGCCCTACATTGCCTCAGATTCAGTCTCCCTCTCTCTGCCCCTTCCCCACTTGCACATGTGTGCTTTCGCATGTTCAAAAATAAACATTAAAAAAAAAAAAAAAAAAAAGAACCTCTTTCTAAGCAACCTCTTCTGATAAAATATAAGGCAAACTAAATTCACCTAAAAATGAGCCATAGAAAAGTATTCAGATCATGTCCTATACAAAGTTACTAAAAAAAAGGAACAAGGAGAATTATATCCCTACAGACAATGAAAGTGGACCTGAAAAACAGCAATATAGACAGATAAAAATCTTAAATTACTATTTTAAAGTGTGCTAAATAAGATTGAGAAAATCTTACAAACTATGAAAGAACAACATAAACAATTTTAAAATAAAAATAAGGTGACGGGGTGCCTGGGTGGCTCACTCGGTTTAGTGTCCGACTTCAGCTCAGGTCATGATTTCATAGTTCAGGAGTTCAAGCCCTGCGTCGGGCTCTGTGCTGACAGCTCAGAGCCTGGAGTCTGCTTCTGATTCTGTGTCTTCCTCTCTCTCTGCTCCTCCCCCACTCACCCTCTCTTTCCCTCTCTCTCAAAAATACATAAACATTAAAAAGATAAAAAATTTTTTTAAGTTAAAAGGTGATAAAATACAGGAAATGATCACAAAGAAAATATAGTTTCTGAAATTTAAAATAAACTGGAAGGAATACAAAAGCAAATACACTCAAGAGACCATGCCTTAAGCAAACAGAAGGCAATGGGAAAAAATTTTTAAATAAGAAATGAAGAAGAAAAGGATTCAAGCAAGAGACCAACACTGAAAAAGGAAAAAGGCTGAATATGAGATAACAGGATTCCTTTATGAAAATAAGGAGTAGAATACAAAAAAAAAACTATTACTTAGGAAAATGTGATTGCTGATAACAGTTTTATTCACAAGAGCCAAGAGATGAAAACAACTCAAGTGTCCACCAGAGATGAATGGATTAACAAAATGCAGTATATACATGAAACGGAATATAATTTAGCCTTAAAAAGAAATGAAGTTCTGATATATACTATGACATGGATGAACTTTGAAATCATAACACTAAGAGAACCAGACACAAAAGAGCAAATACTGTATGATTCCACTTACATGAGGTATCTAGCACAGACAAATTTGGAGACAGAAAGCAGAACAGAGGTTACTAGGGCAGAGAGGAAGTTGGGTATGGGGACTTAATTGTTTAGTAAGTAGAGTTACTATTTGATAAAGTTCTGGATGTATAAAATAAGGATAGTTCCACAACACTGTGCATGTACTTAATGCCACTGAATTGTACATTAAAAACAGTATAATGGTGATTTTCATTAATGTATATTTTACTACAAAAAAATTTTGTTAAAGAGAAATTTTGCTCACACACACAAAAAAAGATCTGATATTACATATTGAAAGAGCACACCATGGATCCGAGGGTAGTAACCCAGAATGATCAATATCAAAACACCATTCTGATAAAATGAGAAATGTGTGGGTCTAGGCAAAATGACAAGTGATCGTATCAGAGAGTAAATTGCCTTATCACTTTTTGACTGCAAAACTCTGTATGTCATAGAAAATACTTCATTAAAGATATTCAAAGGAATATAAATGTGAAAGATTTTATAATCAGCAAAACTGACTTTTTAAAAAAGTTTATTTTTATTATTTTTTAAATTTATATCCAAGTTAGCATACAGTGCAACAATGATTTCAGGAGTAGATTCCTTAATGCCCTTTACCCACTTAGCCCATCCCCCCACCCACAACCCCTCCAGCAACCCTCTGTTTTCTATATTTAAGAGTCTCTATAACGTTTTGTCCCCCTCCCTGTTCTTAATATTATTTTTAAATCCTTTCACTTATGTTCATCTGTTTTGTATCTTAAATTCCTCATATGAGTGAAGTCATATGATATCTTTCTCTAATTTTGCTTAGCATGATACCCTCCAGTGCCATTCATGTGGTTGCAATGGCAAGACTTCATTCCTTCTGATTGCCGAGTAATTGTGTATGGTGTGTGTGTGTGTGTCTATATATATACCACATCTTCTTTATCCATTCATCAGATGATGGACATTTGGGCTCTTTCCATACTTTGGCTATTGTTGATAATGCTGCTATAAATATTGGGGTGTATGTGCTCCTTCGAAACAGCATGCCTCTATCCCTTGGATAAATACCTAGTAGTGCAATTGCTGGGTTATAGGGTAGTTCTATTTTTAATTTTCTGAGGAACCTCCAAACTGTTTTCCAGAGTGGCTGCACCAGTTTGCATTCCCAAAAACTGACTTTTAAGTATAATATAGTCAAACTGTTACCAACATACAGAAACCTAAATATTGCTACCATGAGCTCTGAAGAATCTTCTAGAGATGACCTTCAGAGACAATGACAAAAGCACTAGTGGTGAGCATTAAATATCTAACTGTAGACCAAGACTAAAAGGGGATTTAAAAAGTACAATATGTAATGATACATGCTACCACAATTTATAGTACAACATACAAACACTGGGGAGAAGACAGGGATAGGAAAAGCAAAAATAACTTTAAACAAATGTCAATAGTAACATTGATGGTCTATCATTAGCACTGTATTAGTTAGTGCTATGTATTTGTGTGTGTGTATATACACATACACACAGGTAGATATATATGTGTATCTATGTGTATATATATGTGTATATGTATGTATATATAGATAGATATACATATATAGATATTCCTACCCACTGTATTAGTGCTGTGTATCTGTGTGTGTGTGTATGTATATATATATATAGTGTGTGTATGTGTGTGTATATATATATAGTGTGTGTGTGTATATATATATGTATAGATAGATATAGATAGATATTCCTACCCACTGGCCAAATAAAGATAATTTGAGCTTCAATAAGTTTAAGAATGGCAAAAAACTGAAGCCCATCAAATTCATTTAAATCTATAAATTCACAATGTTTAATGAAGAAAAAATTTTCTTAATGTGTATTTATTTTTGAGAGAGAGACAGAGTATGAGTGGGGCAGGGGCAGAGAGAGAGAGGGAGACATAGAATCTGAAACAGGCTCCAGGCTCTGAGCTGTCAGCACAGGGCCTGATTCAGGGCTCAAACCCACAAACAATGAGATTATGACCTGAGCTGAAGTCGACGCTTAACCAACTGAGCCACACAGGTGCCCATATTTAATTTTTTAAATGTTTACTTTTAAGAGAGAGCTCAAGTGATTGAGAATAGGGAAGAGGCCAAGAGCAAGGTAGAGAAAATCTGAAGCGGGCTCTGGGCTGCCAATGCAGAGCTCAATGTGGGGCTTGAACTCACAAACGGAGATCATGACCTGAGCCGAAGTCGGATGCTTAACCAACTGAGCCACCCAGGTGCCTCAATAAATTCATAATAATGTTCAAAAACAAACAGGTAACCATCATAAAACAAAATAGTGCTTGCTTCAGCAGCACATATACTAAAATTAGAACAATACAGAAAAGATTAGCTATGACCCCTGCACAAAGATTGCTCATATTCAAAAGGTATTCTATATTTAAAAAAAAAAAAAAAAAAAAAGGAAAGAAAACAATCAAGAATCAATCCTGCCTTCTTCTATATGAATTTACCAAGAGGGAAAACTATACCACTAGGTACCCAAATAAGAAATGAGGGAAATATGTGTAAACAAAATGGTAAGGATTTTCCAACTACCATTTTCCAACCCCTAGAGCTGCTAAAATCAAAATGTGAAAACCAGCTCTACTTTGCCTTTTTTCTATTCTCTCTGTCCTGAACAAGTCAGTTCTAAAGCAACTTCTCCAAGCAAAGCAGGTATCTATATAGAGGATGGAGGCTGGCAGGGAAGGAGAGCTACAATGGCCCAGAGCAGACGACCCCACCAGTTAACAGGTACTGACACAAATGGAGCAAGGAGCACATCCAAACGGAGACACAACACAGGGTAGGGAGTCAGATCAAAGTAGAGTAAATCCTGATAGGAGAGGGAATGCAACAAACAACTGAGCAAGTAAGCAAATACATTAAGTACAGTGGAAGCTACATTTCTCATTATTGGAGAAAGGAGTTAGGTATGTGGAAAAGGGGAAACTGAAATGAACTCTGGTGCTGGGAGTACAACTGGAGATGTTAGCATAAACTCATGACTTTCAATACATACACTGTAACAAATACAAATACATACGTAAGTATATATAGGTGTAAGTTAACATATATCTGTACCACAGCTCTATTCATTAAGAGGGGTTGTGAGCAGCACAACAATGATACGAGTGAGTATATCTTGGTTTCTAAGTATCATTACCATTCTTCACTAAAAGGAATAGCTTTTTATAGTTATATCTTAATAAAAGTATACACACACATATTTCCTGGGGAAATAGCTAATTTCAAAGCCAGGGCAGGGAGCGTACACAGTGAGATAGCAACACTGTTTGGTGCTGCAAAATGAGTTAAGTCCTAATATAATGAGGACATGTGAAAGGACATGGAAGCCAACTCAAAAGGGCTCCCACTGCCCAAGTGATATAGTTTCACTTTCAAGATAAGTATTATCTATTGAATGACGAAATCACAAAACTCTTAACAAGGTAATTCAACATAATCAAAAACCACTACCACATCCAAGAAATTTAACACTGCTTCAATATTAATATCACACCCATATCCATAATCAAATGGCTCCAATTGTCCCCAAACTACTTTTTATGACATTTTTTTTCCTATTCGGGATTCAGTCAAGTTTCGTTCAGTTATCATGTCTTGCTAACCTCTTTTACTGTAAATCATTTTTCTTTTTTTAAGTTTATTTATTTAGAAAGAGAGACAAAATGTGAGGAGTTGAGGGGCAGACAGACAGGGAGAGTGAGAATCCCAAGCAGGCTCCACACTGCTAACGCAGAGCCCAACATGGGGCTTGAAATTACGAACTCATGACCTGAGCCAAAAACAAAAGTTGGATGCTTAACCAACTGAGCCACTCAGGCATCCCTAATGTAAACGATTTCTCTTTGTCTCTTATTACATAGACATTTTTTGCGAAGTTCAGATAAGCTGCTTCATTCAACTTTTTACATTCTAAATCTGACTATTCTCTCACAATTAGATTAAGGTAAAAAGTTTTTGGCAGGAATACTTCATAAATAATGAGGTATATTCCAGAATGCATCACATTAGAAAACACATAATGTTGGTTTGTGCAATTACTAGCCTTCTAACATGCTTCTTCAATCGCTCTATTTCAAATTAAGAAAACAAATGGCAGGCTTATGCATCCAGGAGTTATTGTAAGGGCATAGGATGCAGTGCAATCAAACACACAGCTGTAAAAGCAGCAATATTCAGGGACAAGCACTTCACTAGAACTCAAATCTCTGAACTTAATAGCTCTGTCAATCAAATTCTCTCAAATATATGAATAATTTTTTAAGTTTATTTTTATTTTTCAAAGACATACAGAGAGCAAGTGAGGAAGGGGCAGAGAGAGGGAGACAGAATCCCAAGCAGGCTCCACACTCAGTACAGAGACAACGTGGGGCTTGAACTCACAGTGAGACATGACCTGAACTACAATCAGCTGTTGGGACCTGTAACCGACTGAGCCACCCAGGCACCCCTGAATAATTTTTTAAGTAAACTCTATGGTCAATATGGGGCTCAAACCCATGATCCAGAAGATCAAGAGTCACATGTTCTACTGACTGAACCAGCCAGGCATCCCAAATATATGAATGATGTAGCATTCATATTTAAAAGGGAAGATTAAAAATACATGATTTGGAAATAACTCAAATGTGTTTCAAGTAGAAAACAAAGTGTGATACAGTAATGTTATGGAATATTATTAAGCAATAAAAAATAACAAATTAGTGACATAACAAAATGGGCAAATCTCTAATGCATTATACTAACTTGAAGACGTCAGACTCAAAAGGTTATATAATTCCATTTACACCAAATACTGGAATAGACAAAAACTATAGGAAACAGATTACTGACTCTCAGAAGCTGGCATAGGGAGCAGAAGGCGCACATGGAGAGAAGAAAATGCTTACATAAGGGTACAGAGGATTTTTAGAGGGAAACAGACCTGTTTTATGTCTTAATTGTCATAATGGTAATACAGCAATATGCATTTGTCAAAACTGTATAACTGTTCACTAAAACCGTCGAATTTTACAGTTACGTAGTTGTATCTTTTTTTTTAATGTTTTAAAATGTTTTTTTTATTTATTTCTGAGAGAGAGAGACAGCATGAGCAGGGGAGGGTCAGAGAGAGAGGGAGGCACAGAATCTGAAACAGTCCCCAGGCTCTGAGCTAGCTGTCAGCACAAGAGCCCGAGGAGGGGCTCAAATCCATGAACTGTGAGATCATGACCTAAGCCCAATTCAGATGCTTAACTGACTGAGCCACCCAGGCGACCCCCCCCTTTTAAAAATAAATGTTTATTTATGTTGAGAAACAGTGTGCATGCAGGCCAGGTTGGGGTAAGGGGCAGAGAGAGGAGAGACAGAATCCCAAACAAGTTTCACACTGTCAGCACAGAGCCTGACCTGGGGCTCTATTTCAGGAAATGTGAGATCACAACATAGACACATTCAAGAGTCAGACACTTAACTGACCGTGCCACCCAGGTGCCCTGAGTTATATAGTTGTATATTTTTTTGTTATTTAATTTTTTTTTAATGTTTATTTATTTTTGAGAGACAGTCAGAGCACAAGCAGGGAAGGGCAGAGAGAGCCAGAGACACAGAATCAGAATCTGGCTCCAGCCTCTGAGCTGTCAGCAGAGCCTGATGTGGGGCTCGAACTCATGAACTGCGAGATCATGACCCAAGCCAAAGGTGGACGAGTAACCAACGAGCCACCTAGGCGCCCCTACAGTTATATCTTAATAAAAGTATATACACACATATTTTAAGAATTTCCCATAAACCAATATTATCTTTAACAGTGTATACCTCTTTATCGTCTTCAGATTTCCTATCATCTTCCTCTTCCTCTTCTTTTTCTGATTTCTCTAATTCCTTTTGTTCTTCTTTTTGCTCTTCTACTTTAAGCTGTTTTGTCAATCGGGCTATTAACTGGGATTTTAATCCTTTGGAACTAAGAGCTCGGCTTTCTAATTCTTTTCGGAGGTCATTTACCTAAATATGCAGAACATAGAAACACAGAAAAAGAAAATGGGATATTGAAATAAGGAACAAACTGCAATTATCTTTTCTTTGATTTTTTTTAAAACTTTGGCAAAAGGTACACTTGTTCAGCTCAGCACATGTTTGTGAAAATGCAAACTGATAGAATATTTTTAGAAAATACTCCGTAACATGTTTTAAGATGCTACACAAAAAATAATTCTGACACAGTAATTCTAATTTTGAGGAATTAACCCTAAGGAAATACCAAACACAGGAAAAACAAAACACTTTACATATTCCTTGTTAACAGTCCCTTTCTCAAAAAACGGATGAATCTAATGGATTAATCGAATAAAAGAATAATACCACATCAACTAAATAGAGGAGAGTATAGAACATTTAAAAATAATTACATGGGAAACACTAATATTAACTGAAAAGAATGAAACTACAACTTTTTAATACGTGATCAGAACCAACCAACCACAAAGCGTGTACCCCTAAAAAATAATAGAAAAACAAATAACAAAACTTAAAAGTGGTTCTCTGAATTATAAGCTTCAATAACTTTTTTCTTCAATTTTTCATGTATATAACAATTTTTAAAATAAGCACACATTACATTTATAATCAAAAGAAATACAAGTTTTAAAATAAGAAACTTAATGGTAAAGTCATTAGTTTGAAAACAAAGTCCTAGGATGCAGGTTTAAACTAATTACCTGTATTTTCTTTCTTTCTTTTTAAATGTTTATCTATTTTTGAGAGAGAGAGAGAGAGACAGCACAAGTGGGGGAGGGGTGGAAAGAGAGGGAGACACAGAATCTGAAGCAGGCTCCAGGCTCTGAGTTGTCAGCACAGAGCCGGACATGGAGCTCAAACCTGAGAATGTCAAACTCATGACCTAAGCCAAAGTCGGACCGAATGAGTCACCCAGTCACCCGTGAAGTCACCTTTTGTTTAATCATTATACACAAGCACATAAATGCAATATAGAATATTTATATAAAATTCTTGGGCTTGATTTTTAGTGCTTTTTATCTGATAAAACACTATCCTCATTCTCTATTTCCTATTCAGAGACTTAAAATTAAATGCCATCAATTTCAAAGTTACCTTCATTGTCTTTGGATCAAGTTTGGACCAATGGGTAGGAGTGGAAATTTCTTTAGCTTCACCGTCATCCTTCTCTTCTTCATCCTGATATACAAAGTTAAGAACATAATTACTATTCTGAAACCTTAAAATTATGGTAATTTATTTTTAAAAGTCTGTTGCTGATCTGTGCAAGGTCACAAATGTTTCAGATTGTCTTCTCCTAAAGTTATTATTTAGGCAAGTCCACGTACATACATTCTACCACTTTTAACTGATCACAAAGACACTCATCAGCCAATCAAAG